GGAGAAAGACTGCAGCAACTAACTCAGAAGATACTGCATTTTTAGAAAACAGAATCACACAGATTGACAAAGGCAGTGATATCTCTGCAGCTATTTATTTATTTATATTTCATATAATTCATTCGCCGCTTGATTGCAAAATACCCCTAAAAGGTAAAACAAGGGGAGAATCACAACCCTCCCTTCAAACATACAAAAGTTAAAATACTAAAACAGATTAAAATTGAGACCTCAACGTTCTAAACATCTATTTATTTGCTTTGCAACACGAAGCTACAAATGATTAAAGTATTAGTTAAGCAGAGCTGGTAACAGTATCTAATTGCAAAGCATTTCGGAGAACAGTGAAACCATTTAGCATAATAGGAGTATGGCAAACTGTAATGTGCCTTCATTAGCAAACAGTGCCTTTTGATTTGCGCAAAGAAGAATAAACATTATGCCTGCCTAATAAAACAATTCTGTGCATGTTTTGCAGGAAATGGGCAGAAAGCTTAGCGTTTGTTTGTCAGCGGTTTATTTGCGATGCAGCGTGTGTCAGGGAAACATTTTAATGACCAGCTTCAAGATGACACAGTCTGCCGAAGAGGAAAGTATAGACCACATTTGTCAGGTGGCTAGAAAGCTTGATGCCCTCTTAGAGGCTAGTGTTTTGGGCTTCCCAGTTCAGGACGCTTGAAATGTATATGGAGGGAATGGAGAACCTGTGGTCCTCCAGATGTTGTGAACTTGGCTGTGCTTGTTGGAAAAATGCCTGGGAAGGCCGCCACCTTCCCAAGACACCGGGGCATCTCTCCGGTGGTCACCCTCTGGCTGTAAATCTTCCTCAGTCCAGAGAGACCGGTAATAAGCGACCCCTCCCTCCTGAGAGGAGCACAATCAGTAGCTCTAAACTACTTTATTTACAGTCTATACACAGAGAATCCATCAGCGTGTCTGCTCTCTCTGAGCAGCTGTACAGAAGAGCACACTTCACACAGAAGCAAAAGTAACTTCTTCACAGTACTGAGACTGTGCTGAGACTTCCTGTCTCATGCTCTCAGACACTCACATGATATAAACAACCATTGTGCTGCTCTCTGAACAACTGGTGAGATAAAAATCCTAACAGTGCTCGCTAGAGCTGATGGAAGTTTGGAACCCAACAAAAGATTCCTGCATTGCAGGGGGTTGAACTAGATTACACTCTTGGTCCCTTCCAACTCTTCGATTCTATGACTCTATGAAGCTCTGGAGGGCCGCAGGTTTCCAATATTTATTTATTTTATTTATTAGATTTATATGCCGCCCTTCATCATAAGATCTCAGGGTGGCTCACAGAATGAAACACAAGACAAAAACAAGTAAATAAGTAAAACAGAACAGCAAAACAATACCTGAAGTATACGTTCAGCCCAGACACTGAGATCCAGCTCCGAGGGCCTTCTGGCGGTTCCCTCACTGTGAGAAGTGAGGTTACAGGGAACCAGGCAGAGGGCCTTCTCGGTAGTGGCACCCACCCTGTGGAACACCCTCCCTTCAGATGTCAAGGAAATAAACAACTATCTGACTTTTAGAAGACATCTGAAGGCAGCCCTGTTTAGGGAAGTTTGTAATGTTTGATGTTTTATCGTGTTTTTGATATTCTGTTGGGAGCCGCCCAGAGTGGCTGGGGAAACCCAGCCAGATGGGCGGGGTATAAATAATAAATAATACATTATCATTACAGTGGTACCTTGGGTTAAGAACTTAATTTGTTCCAGAGGTCCGTTCTTAACCTGAAACTGTTCTTAACCTGAGGTACCACTTTAGCTAATGGGGCCTCCTGCTGCTGCTACTGCGCTGCCACCATGCAATTTCTGTTCTTATCCTGAAGCAAAGTTCTTAACCTGAGGTACTATTTTTGGGTTAGTGGAGTCTGTAACCTGAAGCGTCTGTAACCTGAAGTACCACTGTATTATTATTATTTATTTATTATATACCTTCCCCTCCTATACCTGTTCTAAAGTCACGCAGACTGAATGCAAGTCCGCTCACCCTTGCGTTGCAGCACAGGCTCTTCCAAGACCCTGACGGGGGATACTGGGATCAGCATCCAGTCCGGACAGGTGATTCAGGCATAAGCCCATGCCGCCTATCAGGAGCTGAATCCTAGCCTTCACCCGGGATTGGCAAATGGGAGTGCAGGCTCATGTGTAGACTGGGGCATGGGGTGGAGCTGATGGAGCAGGAAGGCTTCTCTCAGGTCCACAACCTGGCCATTTAAACAGCCCGCTGAAGCCAAACTGAGATATCTACTAATTGATGATGACCCCCTAAAATCACTCATGGTTGCCAGATTCCTGATCAGCGTCCTATCCCTAAAGAAGAGAAACGGTCTCCTGTGTGATTCGGATAACCCCTTTAAACCATGACCTATGTTTTAGGTGATATCACCATTGTTTTAAACCATGATCTATGTTTTAGGCGATATCACCATTGATATCCCTGATTAATTTATGAGCAGAGGGCGATGTATAGGTTACAAATTTATTGTAATGTATGATGGTGGTTTCTGTTTTTGTATGATGGTGGTTTCTGTTTTTGTTTTGCTTCGATTATTGTTTGTCTTTTGTAAGTTTTGGCGATTTTAAATTTGGAGGTTTAAGTATAATATGTTGGTATGGGAAACTGTCGTGTAACGGGCCAATGGCCGTAATAAAGATCAATCCAATCCAACAGCCCGCACCTGGAGCCCTTACCTGTTATTTCCCTTGTTGGGTTCCCCACCTGCCTTCCTGTCAGGAGTGCGTGCAGGAGCCAGGCCCTGTGACCAATAGGAATTTGCAGGACTGGGGCCTTCCTAAGTTTGTTCTGAAGAGGCAAGGCACAGCCTCACAGGTGAAGCCGATTGGTAACTCACAGCACCTGGTGGCAAGATCTGGGGAGGGATATAAGGTCAACATTTAGCCTCGGCTCTTTGCCACAGCAACACGCTTCCTGCCTTGTTGCGTTTGGCTTCTTGCTTCCTGATCTTCGAACCTCGGCTTCTTGACTCCCTTCTTCTTGATCCTCAGACCCTTGGCTTTGTGACTCCTTGCTTCCTGATTCTCAGACCCTTGGCTTCTTGACTCCTGACTCTCTGACCCTTGAACTCTAGGCTTCCTGACTCCTGCCTTCTGGACCCCTGTTCCTGCTCCCACCCCACCATCTTGCCCCCGGTCCTGACGTCCCCTACCAGGTCTTCGATTGCTCGTGAACCGGGCCGCGACACTCCCCTCAATTCAAGTGATGGTTTTACGACCTTGCTGTGGCTAAGGTGGTCATCATGTTCTGGGGCGAGGTAGGAATTTGCCCACCGGTCAAATTGGATCCAGCCTTGTGGTTTTGCCTACCTCATAGCAATTGTCACAACTTGTTTGGGCATTGGGGAAACCTCAGTCTGGCATGGAGGAGAGGTTGTAGTCTTTGTCTTCCCCTCCAAATGCTGGGTATCCTGTTAAAGGTATTCGGGGGGGGGGGAGTGGCCATGTCTTCATGCCCAGCCACAGCCCAGGGCTGATGGCACTCCTCCAGATAGCAGTCCTTGCAGGGGTTGCCCTATTTGAAACCCCTGAGCAGATTGACCAGAATATCATTTCTGGCAGGCGGGCTGGAAGTATTTAATTGCCCAAGCCAAAGCTCTTTCATCTGTATTCAATTAAGATATAGCCTGTTTTGATCCAAAAACCAGTCTGTTGTCTTTGAATTCTCTGTGGGGTTGGGGACTGAGGAATGTGATGTCTAGGCCCACAACTGCTAAGACACAAGACTCCTATTATTTATGGTGGCTTTTGGTGTACAAAAGTGGCGTGTAATTGTTTGCCTTTAGTGCTACAAGTCTTAAGGTTTTCATTCTTGTGGAAGGGCGGAAACAAAAACTTGTTTTCGAGTGTGCCTTTGTTACATGGTTTCTCTTTCCGCATTGTTTAGATTGAGCAGTTAAGTTAGTTGCTGATCTTCGGAGTGATCGTTCTGAAAAATCTTCAGGCAAAACTGGGACATGTTTTGTCCCAGTTAAGGATTCTGGGTGGGGAAATGGTTCACAGTAATGGGGGGGGGGAGGAAGAATATATTTAAATTTCCTGATTTTCGTAGTACTCTTGTAATATGTCCTATAGTCTCCATTCATGCTGCTGCCTCGATAACATGTCACCCATCATGCACATAAGCTCATTTCTGCTGCTTAAAGTATGTACAGTGAAGTGTGTGTGTGTGTGTGTGTGTGTGTGTTGGGGGTGGGAGTGCAGCAACATGCACACCCTTCCCTCCATCTCTGTGTTCACACCACTGTGCAGTTGGAAACCTTTCAGATTTTAATAATAGGGGATGCGTCCGTTTTAACCAGGGAAATGGTAAAAGTACTAGGAAATTGTGTGACTGTAGGTTATCAGAACATGAAATTAAAGCTGTTCTGTTATAACAAATTACATAGATTTTGTAGAATGAACAAACTTGTGTTATCTATCCTATCTTAGGGTTGCCATATTTCGGGAAGTGAAAATCTGGACACAAAGGTTGTTGAGCTTTTTATTTTTTGGGTTTTGTTTTGTTTTTTGCCTACAATTGTTGAGCATTTTCTCTCTCTCCAAAATATCCCCCCAAACATAGCTGTCAACTTTTCCCTTTTCTTGTGAGGAATCCTATTTGGAATAAGGGAATTTCCCTTTTAAAAAGGGAAACATTGACAGCTATGCCCCCAAAACAGTTTTCAAATAATTTTTTTGAAATTCCGGCAAAAAAAATCCACTCCCACAATGGACTGCCATTTAAATTTCCCGAACATTTAAAATGGCTGCCAAATTCTGGGAACATCCGGGAAATTCCAGACGTATAGCAGCCCTAATATCTATCTATCCAGGTGTGGTTGCTAGCAGTTATTGAAAGTAATGGCATACTGAGTTAAAGGGGGAAATTGATGTGTGGGACAACTAAGAGTTTTTAAATATTGGAACGAATCAAAACGTGTAGCTTTGCTGACTGAATTTTTGCTTTCTTTCCAGCTGAACAAGCAACAGCTACAGATTGTGAAGGAGCGCTTTCAGGCCTTCCTGAATGGAGAGACACAAATTGTGGCTGATGAAGCATTTTGTAACGCCGTTCGAAGTTACTATGAGGTAAGTTGAACGTGGTTGTTCCTAGGGCAGTGCCTAAAATGGGTGGGAACATAGGCATGTGTGCAAAAATCCCCGCCCCCCATTTTATAGTAGTATTTGTAAGTGTGAGAGCTCAAAGTTACTTAATTGTGTGAATACAATTTCTTAATTCTGCTCGGTGCCTCCTAGGGATTGGAGTTGACAGGGGTTTCACATAAGATTTTCCGAACAACCAGAAAATGTTATCCCTTCCCCCACGCTGATGGTGACATGCTGCTGATCTGCTGCCCCATCCAGCACAAATCTTGAGTCACCTTTCGACACATTCTGCTCAGCTAGGGATGTAAGAGGGCATCATTTTCTACTCCACTCTGGGTTTGTCATATGCAGTAGTGTTTCTGTTCTGCTGCAGTTTGCCTTCTGCCAGCAATTAAGTTATGTGCCTCACTGTCCGCTATGGTGATATTGCAGTAGTAGATAATACCAATCCTGATTGATTTACCTGAGATGAATAAGAGAATATAGACAATTCCCACTCCTGTTTCTTGTTTTCATTGGAATTCTCTGACATCCCTACTTTCAAAATCTGAATTCGAGATACCACCAGCTTAACTTTAAAAAACGAGGCCCCTGAGGCCTGACCGGAGCAGGAGTTACTATCGGGAAACTCAGAAACTAGGACAAACGAGCCCACCCAATCCCCTCTGCTCAGAGAGAAGTCGGAGGAGTGGCTGAAAAACAAGAGCACAATATTTGGACTTGGACAACTGTCCCTACATTCTGATAGGGCTGTATAAAGATCTGCTGAAAGAATACTCAACACAGATAAGCAAAGAACTTGAGCCAATCAAAATTTTCCCCTCGGAATGTTTGGGCCTGCTTACTTCCCTGACTTGGCTAATTAGGAGAAAAGAAGACTGCCGTCCCCATAAAGCAGTCAACAACAAGCCAAATGGAAATAAAATCCAGTCAGGCACTGAAATACCACCAGCTTTTTAAGCTTTCAGAAACTGGTAGGCTGGAATCTGCTGATTATCTACTTATCCAAGCAGTAGTACCTCCTTGTTTCCATAAGGTCCAACCCTTCCAAGTCTGGTGCCTAATAGAAACTTCACCATCAGTACCTTACCACATTTATCACTTTGCACCAAAGTTGATCCACCTGAAAGTTAAGCTACTTCATCCTGTCTTCTGCATACTTCCTAGCTATCTCAGGTAAACACCCTTTGGAGGAGAGTGGAACATCTTCATTCTGGAAACCTCTGCTTGTGTCATTGATCCTACCAGCATAAATTTAGTGCATGAGCTAGAATATGTCATTTTTTTGTGGCAAAATGTTTCCTGAGCATAGCTCATCATATCCTACATAGAATAATTGACTCACAGTTGATGGAATAATTAAAGCGTATTCATCACATTCATTCATCGCAGGTCATATATGTGCAATGCACAAACAGAGATATCCATTGGTGGACACCACAGAATCACCAGAAGAAACTGCAAAGATTAATAAGCATTTTTCAGCTGGCTTAGCCAGCTTTTTTCAGTACTCCTGAAAACCCCAGCAGATATGATGCATTATTAGCTAGAGTATATATTTTATATATACTAATATGCTTTATTTTATATATACCAATATTTTTATTTTTTACTAATATATTTTATGTGTTTTTAAATTTTTTCCCATGTTTTTAGGAGTATAATAGAGGGCCCTAACTACAGTAGTGCTTATTTTACAGCATCTAAAATATTTGTCAAATATGAAAATCCAGAAATCAGTATTGAAGAACATTGATCTAGGACCTTGGAAACTGAAAATCAGATTTAATTCTGGCTTCTGTTTAATTTTTCTGCCTTTCCCTGGATCTTTTCCCATTCTTGCTATAACATTTTCAAACACATCTCTTATTACCATGAGGTCGAAGCCAAAAAGCTTGCAAGCCTAATTATAGATCGCTAAGGGTGGAGAGGCAAATTCCCTCCTGCTTTCAGCCCATATTACAGATGATCCCACACTAGAAATGGCATATGAAGAGCTTAAAAAGTCTTCTGCAGAACTCTGAATAGACTTCAAGTCACAAGCTTTTGTTGTGGCGATATAAAGGAACATTTCCCCAATGGGAACATTTTATTACAGTCCTTTTGTCATATGTGCCCAGCACTGAGACATGGACTATTTTGGCAAGCTGTAGAATCAATGAACAAATAGACCAACTGAATGTCTGAAGAATATGCTTCCTAATACTGGTGGCTGTTCGCTTTGAGACAATTCTGCAGAGCAGGCCTGCAGCGCAAATTTGGTGACGCTCCCAGTACAAAGTAGACCTTGATCACAAGGCTAATTATCAGCAGAAGAGAGGCTGTGCTTGCAGCGATCTTTTAGTTATGCAATAACTCACTTGAAAGAGAGCAGTACTGTGCCATTGGTAATGCCAGTGGTCTTGGCTATTCCAAACAACATCTACTCAGAATCGATGGGGGGAAACTAGAAGAATCGAGTCTGAAAGCATACTGGCAACAAAAGAGAGAGGAAGAGATAATTCCAGAAGTAGAATCCAAGAGAAGAGAGGCAAGCCTTAAGCCAGTATTAGGAGGGGAAGGATTGTATTCTGGAAGAATGAAAACCCTAGTGTGCCAATCAAAATGCACTGGTTACTCTCTGGTTTCCTGCGTGCCAGAATAAATGCTTTTCTCCTAAGCACCAGCTTGAGGCTTAGCTCTTCCCTTCTACACCAGGAAACTGAATGCAGAGTCTTTTGAAGCTTTGTTGAGAGTATTTACTGTAGGGAACCAGGCATACTTTCAACGAAGGGGAGGAAACGGATAGGAGGGGTAGAACTATATGAGTACAAAGTTGGGTATATAGATGTCTGATGCAAGGACACTAAAGTCTGGGCTCTGTACTGCTGTATGTGATAACTTTAGAAGCAATGTGGTTTCAGGGTTAGTGTTAGACTAGGGCCATGGACCAAATATTTGCTTAGATTTGAAGCTCACATGGTGAGGCAGTTGCGTTCGTAGCCCAAACCATATCAAGGGGTTGTTATGAGGATTAAATGTGGAAAGGTAAGCCTGTGCACCATCCTGAGCTCCTTGGAAGAAGAAGCATAGGATAAAAAAATCTAAATTTTATTATTACTAATAGTATTTGAAGGGGATGGGTTTTCTGAGTAGTTAAGGACATGTGCATCATTAACCAAAGCAAGTTCAGTGGTACCTCTGGATGCAAATGGGATCCGTTCCGGAGCCCCGTTCGCATCCTGAGTAGAACGTAACACACGACTGCGCGTCTTCGCGTGGGCGAGTCATGTTTTGCCGCTTCTGCACATGCGTGTGATGTCATTTTGAGCATCTGCACATGTTCGAGTGGCAAAACCCGGAAGTAACGTGCTCCGTTACTTCCAGGTCGCCATGGAGTATAACCTGAAAATGCTCAACCTGAAGCATATTTAACCCGAGGTATGACTGTACTGTATATTATTGTCCCTACATTCATAATGCAAGATCTAAAAACAGGAGATCTCTGCACTTTTTCAGCAGCTGCTGATTACTGCCCTCTGTGGTGAAACTGAGTAACCGTAGACTCATGGAAGAACCACCAGGACCTGGCCTGACTTCATCCATTGGTTCTTCCTAGTCAGGAAGGGGTATTAAAAATGATCCCTTCCTATTTTAGATGTCAAGGACTGGCTGGATGCAGAGGAATGGTGGGAGGCAGCAGTTAGGGATCCTGCAAGGGAAGAAGGCTCAGAGCCAGCGGATTGGTGGTGGGACGCCAATGCGTGGTCAGAAGGGAGAAGACTGGAAGGAGGACATGTTGGAAGTTGAAAGGGCAACAGGGTTTAGTGAGCAGGAAGAGACTGTGGCAGAGAGCAGTCCAGAATCGGAGGCAGAAGTGGAGGCTGCAGAGGAGGCAGGCCAAGAGGCAGAGATGAGGCAGGCTGCTGAAGAAGCCAGGGGGTCTCCCCCTCCTGCTGTGACCACCTCCCCTCCCCCCTGGTTTCCTAGAATGTGCAGAGATTAAAAGTACCGAGGAGAGTTTGGCTGTGTGCAGACACAGCCCACGACTGCTTGGAAAAAACACTGGAGAGGAGGGGGTGTAGGTGGCTGTGGGAAGGCAGGAACCTTCAGTCCTTGCAACGGCCTCATTGGGGCAAGACCTACTGGGAAAAGTTGCTGCGATCACTAGGCCTGCACAGTTTCGGGGGGTTTTGAAATAAAGTGTTCACGAACACTGTGTTTTTTATTGCTGGCCAATGCCTGACTCCAGCTCCCGATATTAGCTGAGCTTTGCTTGATCTCTATTGTGCTTGCATGTCTGGTCAGTCTTCTTGGTCTTGACTGTTCTTCTGCATTGCCCTTGGGTCCAGACTCCAAATCGCTAGTCCAGTGTGAGCAAATGCTTAAACATTCTGCTTCTTATTCCAGCCAATGCAATCCACCCCACTTGCCAGACCATTTTTTAAAAAGTCATAGTAATTTGCATACTTGCGACTGAAATGTGTCTTAGAGTGCTCTGTTGCAATGAGCAACACCGAATCTTCAAGAAGCTGTACCCTGTCAAATCATGAACTAATTTTTATGTAAACTTGAGCAGGGCAGTACAGTCATACCTCGGGTTAAATGTGCTTCAAGATAAGTATTTTCGGGTTGCGCTCCGCAGCGACCGAGAAGTAATGGAGCACGTTACTTCCGGGTTTCACCGTACGTGCATGCGCAGACAGTCAAAATGACGTCACGTGCATGTGCGGAAGCAGTGAAATGCGACCCACGCATGCACAGATGCGGGTTATGTTTGCTTCAGGATGCGAACGGGGCTCTGGAACGGATCCCGTTCTCATCCCGAGGTACCACTGTATGTTGAATGGAGAAACTGCAAAAACAGGACAATGTATCCATGGCTGAAATCCCATAAAGAAAAATGAGCAGCAAAGTGCTAAATTTATGTAATCAGCGTTCATGATTGCTTGATGAAAACCAATGGAGAGCAAATTTATGCCTTCAAAATGGCCTGTTCCGGT